GATTAACTTTTGTTAGCTTTTAGAATATAACTCTCTGTATTGTTCTGGTTCTTAGTTTTGTATAACATGACAATAAAGCTACATTGCTTATAATATCAGGCTATATATTGGCAATAATAATTATGAATTACTGATTAATTTGACCCTAAAGGGAGGCATTAGGTGCTCTCTCTAGAGTCAAAATATACTGGAAGAGGAGATTGGACTGGAGGTCCGGATAATTGCTAACATGTATGCACAGCAAGTGGGAGTTGCGGGTTTGAGTCCCGATTTTTTTTTCCAGTTTAATCTAAAATTATTTAATTAAATTATAGTTATTAAATTTAATAAGAGATGGTGCCTAACGCCTCTCTCTAGGTTCAAATTAATCAGAAATTCATAATTATTATCGCTGATATATAGCCCAGTATCATATGGCAGTTGGTGTAGCTTTATTGTAATGTATTGGGTTTTATAAGATGTTTATATTTGTATAACATGGTTCTCACTACATAATATTTTGTAGAAACCTAATTACCATGTTATATGAGGTTACTGGAATTTATAATTTGATTTGAATGCTTGATTGAGTTACATTCAACATTGGTGTGACATTAGTTGCACCATTGTTGAATGTATTTGGGGAGTCATTGGAATAATTTATTTTAAATGAAGTATCACACACAATATTAAAATATTTACATATTATATAAATATAAAGCATTATAAAAATTAATTATCTGACATGAGGACTTGTACAATTTAAGTGTCCATTATTTTTGTTAACAGAGAAAATTATTTTTATTATAAATAACAACTCAAAGCCCGAATAGTATATATAATAAATTGCCAAACGATCACCTAAATATCGGGCTACTATATGGCTAATTATTCTAATCATTTAATTAGCCATATAGTAGCCTGATATTTAGGCGATTGTTTGGCAATTTATTATTTTTATTGGTAAAATTTTACAAGGATAGTGTGTTATCATTTTATCTACTTACATAAAACAATAATTACATTGTGGCATAATTTTACAAGTCTTTTCTATCATTCTAAATTTTTAGGTTATTTGTCTTTTTGTTCAGTTTGTGTTAATTAGAATTTTTGTTGCCAGAGGACACTGATTTAGTTCAGATCACAAATTGCTTTGTGTGTCATGAATATATGAGAAGTAAAGATTTTATTTTGCACTTATGATGTACTTTTGATATATTGATGCACTGCTGCATTTTAACATATATACAGTATAAATGCAAAGCAGATAAAAAGTTACTGCTACCATTACTATAATTAACTACTAGGCAGTAAATCATCAACGATGTATAATTTTGTGGCAGATCTTTCTTCATCTGAAATATTAGAAAAGTATTGTATTTTTTTTTTTGCTACTAGTTTGGTATAAATATATGTATGTATACATATACAATTGAACTGGTCTATCTTGAATCTCACAGGAATGAAAAAAAAAATTTGAGATGGAGATATAGAAGCTCCTATACAGTATACTGTAATATGTTTGACTGGAGGTATAATATTTTATTAATATAATAGCAAGTATCTGTATTAGGTATAAATAAGGCATTTTTGACATACCTTAATGGAAATAGTTTTGTCAATAGTTTCTGATGCCCAACTGTCTTTAACCAATAAGATGCAAATCAAACTTGTGGTCAGTTAGAGAAAAGCAGCATTAATTGTAACTAGATATGTATTGCAAGAGATGTTTCTTGACTACAGTTCATGCTATCAAAATGTAGCTTTGCATTTGTAACTGACACTTTGGCCCATAATTTGAGATAGATAGGTTTTGGGAGAAAATTATTTGAGATTAATATGGAAAATACATTGAATTTAGGCTGAAATGCAAGAGATGAAATAAATTTCAAAATAAACATGTTTGAGATAGTCAGGTTCAACTGTATATATATTATCATTTATAAACAGATATCTTTTCAAAAAGTTTATGCATATTATACCCTAAAAAGATGTATGTTATCATGTTTGTTTATATTGGATATTATAAAAGTATTAAAATAAAAAATTATGTTTTTTATATTCTTTTTTCTTATTTCTAGTATCAGAAATAGAAATCTAAGTTAGATTTTATTTAAATAATATTGGGTTTAACATAAGTTTGTACTATTTTTACTCTAGTTTATTGTTAACTAGAAAAAGTCACAAATCTTACAAATCACTCTGTTACATATTCTCCTTCACTATAAGCAGCTTCTTAACATTCAGGCAATTTTTTGATTCTTCTGAGGTAGAAATGAGGCAATTTGGAAACAAAGAAATCATCAATCCAATTTTGAAACTGTCATTGTGAAAGGAAATTCCTTTCAGCTTGTTGGAGAGAACCTGGAAGAGATGATAATTTGATGGTGCAAGGAATAGTATGATGGGTGGAGTAGAACTATTCAGCTCCTGAAAGGTAGACTTTGTTAGATTTGTTGTATGGGTGGGCATTGTCATGTGGGAAGATTACATTGATTCAGATACTTGACTACTGAGATTAGCTGTGATTATCCTGTTCATTTGGAAGGAGTTTGAAATGGACGATGCCATCACAATCCCACTATATAGGGAGCATTGTCTGTTTAGGTGCAATTCAGTCTTGGGTTGAGGTTTTGTGTTCTCATGGCTTATCTATTGTTTTCTTTTCTTCATATTGGTATAATTTCTTATTTCCTGTGATATGCTAAGGAATGGTTAACATTTATTTTGTTACAGTTATGGTGAGTGAGGAGAGATGCAGAAGTGAAGAGGCTTGTTCTCCAAATTGTGTGGCATCTATGCTCCATGTTTTTTCATCTTTCCCATCTCATGCAAATGCTGAGTAATTGTTATGTAATTACATCTTCTCAACCAGTTCACATATTGTTTGACAGCCATCTTTGTGTATTAGAGCATTTAGCTGTCTCACATTGAAGTCAATTGGCTTTCTGGATCTAAGTGTGTGTTCAGGTTGAAATTGCCCTCTCTGAAGTTTGAAAACCATTTAAGAGTTCTAGATTTTCCAAAAGACTCTTTTCTGTAACACACTGAATGTTTGCAGTAGATTTGGCAATGTTCAAACTTTGATTGAAGACAAAAAAACAGCAAGTATCAGAAGTGTTCATTTTTCTATTGACATTCCATACAGAATAAGGAAAATCTTAAGTATAAGTGAATTTTAAATGTCACTTTGGAGGCAAAAAAAGAATTGAAAATTGTTATTTTAGTAGTTTTTTTTTTTTAATCAGTTAGAATAATTTGATTAATAAAAATTATCCGAGTTTGCAATAATGTTTGATTTCAGAAATTCAACTAATGTTCATTTATACCTCATTGCAACTTACTTTTGTTAAATTTCAGATCAAGAAAGCAATTTCAGGTGATTGTTGAATCTATGACTTTTCAGAAACAAATTCAATACCTCATAATCAAAGCAAAATTCTTGCATTAACAGGTACTACTTAATTAAGTACCTGAAAATGCTGAAATTTACAAGGCTAATAGAAACAACATGTTATCCCCATGCTTAAATGTTTTTGAGGCTTTTGTTTTATACCTGAAGGACAACAATATGTTATCCCCAGCTTGGAGGGCATTATTGGATATTTAATATTACTTTTACATCTAGATAATTACATCCCAATACAAACATGTGACATCTGATGGCCAATCAGGCATTTGTTTTATATTTTAAATTGTTATATTTCATCATATGTTCTATCCTGATATGTTTTCAAATAAGTTCTTTAACTTGAGAATGATTGCTAAAAACAATTGAAAATGTTTGTTTTTCTCCAATGTTGTGTTTTATGAGCTGGATTTTTGGTTGTGTAAGTGTTGTGTTAAAGAATTTTTCAATATCTTGTCAAAGAAACAAAATAGTCTTTAAACAACATTCTACCTTACTAATTAGAAAAGTTGTAAATATACAGTATTATTGGTAATTTATACTGAGTTTAAATTTTTATAAATGAATAAACAAGCAATCTATTTGAAAATTCTACAGTAGAATTTTAGACTGTACTGTTTAAATTTATATACTGATATATTCTACTGTATTTTTATTAACTATATCCATATAATTATAATTTAGTCTTATATTATTTAAGATGATTTTACTTTATTAATCTTTGGTTATCTTTTTAAAGTTTTCTATTAACCCATAACTGCATTCAGTTTTATTAATATAAACAAACCTCATGAAACCCAATAAATTTGTAAAGCATTTTATTAACATGTGAACATGCATGATGTAGCAATTTTCTATTGATTTTTCACATGTAATTGCTGTTTCTTGAATTTGACCATTCTGAATAATTCTGTAACATGTCTTCTCTGTCAAATTTTAATGTCATGCTTTATTTAATTTATGAGATGTTGTTTTGTTTACTTTCAAGGTTTCCATAGGAAGACTGAAACTTTGTAATAGTGTGGGTTAATTTGAAATGAATACAGTTGGAAATAAATGACAAGAGAGCTAAAGTGTTTCAGGTATAAAACAAAAGCCTCAAAAACATTTAAATTGTTGAAGGTCATAGCAAGTTGCAGACTGCCATCTTATTTATCATGCATATAAATGATATCATGCATTGTCACAATTGCTCTTGTGGCAATTGTGAGAGACCTCCATAATGGATTTTTAATTATGTCAAATCATCAGAAATGTTGTCAGAGTGAAAAATTGCTGCATATGCATGCAATTGTATGATAAAAGTTGTACACAAAATTCCACTGTAGAAAATTGTCATATTATGCATGTAAATGCATAAGGTGGCAGTTTTCTACAGTGGTTTTTTTTTTGAGAGCTTGTAATAAGTAGAAAGTTTTTTGACTGAAATTTTCACTTAGTTACATGTAGCAAGAGTATATCATGTAAGCACAACTAATTAAGTGAATCTGGTGAAAAGTGCCTATAAGAAAACTAGTAGTTCCAGAAAATCTCAATACTTTATGTGATTGTGGGTTAAAATTAATTCAAACAATAATTACTGCATTTTTATGAATTTATTTTGATATAATAGGTTCAGACCATTGAAAATAAATAAAGAAGAATTACGAAATATTATAGCAGATTTCAAGCAGCACCAAGATTACGAAAAAGCATATCGTCAGTTAATAAGTGGAGAATGGGCTTTAGCTTATTTTCTTACAAAATCTAAACAACAACAAAATTCATTTAAAGAGCATGTAAGTAAAATTTTCATTTATATTAGTTTTGCTATTTAACATCTCATATATAACAAATACTTTCTTAAAGCTTTAATCACCATTTGTTAATTGTCCATTTTTTAATCTTATTTTGGAGTAATGACAACTAGGTAGCGGTCAACTGGGCAATTTACAATTGGTTTTAGTCAAGTGGGTGATGGTTAACTGGGAGACAGAAACTTAAAAATGTTTGCATGATTAGCAAACATATGATTTTGTGGATATTTTGTTATTTATTTATTTATTTTTGTAAATATTGGTAAACTGCATATAAATATAAATATTGTTAAGACTTCTGAGGTATGAATTATAAGTTAAAAACTGAGTTACAAGTTATTTCCAACTTAAAAAAGGGAAATGTTTTGGAACAATGTACTGTAGCATGGTTAATTATTGTAAATCAGAAGTGGTTAACAAAGCATATCAAAGAAAAGTGGTTCTTTGAAAATAAATTCTTTTGAAGAACTTTTATACTTTTTTGTTTTAATGTACAGTACATTGTATTTAATGTATAACATAATGTATTTTTACGATGGTAGGCTGAAAAGTAATGCACACATGCTTGTAGAGCGCGAACGAAATGATTTTCAGAAGTGTGCCAGGTGGCATATGGAAGTAACATTCCCCCTCTATGTGTATGTGCAGTTTGAGGTTGTTACGTTCATTCAGTATATTTTGAGAAGCGGAAATATAGAGATATGTTCTAGTGCTATGTCAACGCGAGTTAAACACTGTGCTGTTATCGAATTTTTAACTACTGAAAAAGTGACTCCTACTGAGATTAATTATCATTTAAAGGCTGTTTATGGTGTCAATGCTGTTGATAGGTCTACTGTAAATCGATGGATAATAAAATTTTGTGGTTGTGAGCCTGGAAAAGCCATAATTGTTGATGAAACACACAGCGGATGTCCGATCACTGCCACAGACGATTACTGTATGCCCCTCGTTGCAATGTTTAATTCTTCTCAGTACATATAGACTCTAAAACACCTCCAATGTTGAGTTTGTCATGTTAGAGGCAGCCTGGTGCCAATAATCTTGCAACATGACAACGCTCGTCCACACACCTCACGTACAACTGGATAGGCTCTGAGAAACCTGAAGTTTGAACCGATTCCACACACTCCTTATTCCCCTGATCTTGTGCCTTGCGAGTTTTATTTTTTTCCTGTACTCAAGAGAGAACTCAAGGGTGATCATTACACCTTGGATGATGAGGTGAAGGCAGCTGTCAAGTCCTGGATTCGAGAAAAGTCAGAAGAATTTTTCAGTGACGGAATGAAAAAACTTGTTACACATTGGGAAAAATGTGTTAGCCTTAACGGTGACTATATTGAAAAATAAATATATGATTTTGAAGCTTAAAAATTGTACTTTAATGTACTTTTTGCCCGATCTTGCTATTTGTTTTTGTTCGTGTTCTACAAGCATGTGTGCATTACTTTTCAGCCTACCCATGTAATTTTCTGTAATTGTTGTCTTTGTTTTTATGTATATTTGCTACTTTTGGGTAGATATCAACTCTTTTGGGACTTTTCTATTTACTTGTTAAATACATTATTTATTTATTTTTACATGTATAATTGTTTGTTAATTACAAAATTGTTCTTTTAACTTGTTTCACTCGTTTCTTAAAAAATATTATTTAAATTTACCAGGTAGTAGATCAATAGAAAAGAATGGTGTTTTAATAAAAAAAAACAAAAAATTTTGTATTGTGTCTATTATTCATCTCTTATTTTGTCACCTAGATATCCAGTGCTAAGTCATCCATCACCCAGTTGACAGTGTCCTGTATTTTGTGGGACATTCTATGATTACATTTTGTAGTTATTCTATGAGGTATATTTAAAAAGTTTTAAGAATGAATCAAAAAGTCAATTTATGTTAGGATATAAAAAATTTGTTTAATATTTTTAAAATAATCACATCCTGAACTTAAATACATTTTCTCTAATTCAGGAAATATTTAGAAAAATTAGCTTCTTTCAGTTATTGAAAAATTTTCTTCAATTCATCATGTATGAGTTTTGACTCAAACTATTTTGCTTTTTAAGATTTTTTTCAACTTTGGGAAAGTAAACAGTAATTAGGAGTTGATCAATGGAATAAGATAGCATGGAAGAATAGCAATTATAACTTTCATATTCTTTGTGAAAGTGATTTCAAAATTCAACATCAAACAGATTCAATTTTATACTATCATTTCATAAATTTTTAACTTCAAAAAGTGACAAATAGGAAATTTATTTTATTCTGATATTAATATAGCAAATATTTTGAATTAATTTAAATAAGTAGAAATAATATAAATAGAATTTGACTTTTGAATTATGCAATTTTATTATATGTAGGATGTAATTTTATATATTTGAATTGTTATAATGAGCACTAGAGGACTAGCAAGATTTCCTCATTATAACTATTACTTGTTATATCTGTAAAGAGCAGGGGAAGAATGGGTGACTTTTGGTGCAAACATGTAGGGGGTGTCCCGTGGATGGCAAAATTTGTAGCAATGCCACTGATGATTAGTGAAATCTATTTTTTAATTTTTAATTCTAAATAAGTTGATAGATTTAAAAAACAAAAAAGTATGTAATTACATTATAGTGTTTTTTATTGATAGTTATATAAACTACAAAATAATTAATATTAAACAATTTATTTTTTTGTAATTAAAGATAATGCTAATTAATAATATGCCCAATTTCAGTTAGTCTTTTTATCTACAGATTTTAAAATTGATGATTGCTTTATTTTTCCATAATGTCAATACTGTTGAAGAAGACAAAGAAAACTTTCTATACACTTCAGCATTTTTAGTACCATGTTTTAACTTATGAGTAATTTCTACTTTTTCATAAACTGAGAGACATTTTCTTTTCTTCATAGACATATTTCTTGTAGAAAAGTTTGTTTCTAAGTACAATACAGTGAAACTTTGATCTATCATTCCCATGTCAATCATTTTCTCACATCTATCAGTTTCCTTCAGTCCCAAATAACTACCTATACATATAATGTTAATTTTTCCCATATTATTCATTCCTGCATTGTTCATTTTTCCATAATGTTTGTTTTGTATTTTAACTAAAAGAAAGCTGTTATTCTGCATCAATTGTTCTATTCACAATGAAGGGTGCTAAATTTGAAACACTGATTTTCTTGTACTAAAAATGAAAGCATGCAATATTTAAAAGTTAAACTCCAACATTTGTATATGAAATATATGAAACTAAACCAATTTTCCAAATACAGTCGACCCCCCTATAAGATATAGATACGTTCCAATTTATTAGGAATCCGATTTCTTACAAGTCGTTCCAATCACAGCCCGACACGTGTCAAGTTTACGGACTACGGCTGATTGAAAGGTTTTCTTCCATAAAATTAATCAATTCTACACTAATCCGACTCAACATTTCCAAAATATGTATATTTTTTCGTAGTTTTATAGAAATCGTAATTATAGGGACCGTAATTATAGGGGGGTCGACTGTAGCTACTCTTAATACACTGTATTTAGAGTAATAAAGTTCATTACTGTAGTATAATATTGTAATCATTCTGAAAGAGAGAGATAGATTATTGTCTTTTCCTGGCTAATTCTTGTGATTATTTAAACAGCAGTTAAATTTATTTTATTTTATTGTATATATTTGGGCACATTTTCTAGTAAAACCACTTAAAACCACTTTGCTAAAAGACAATTAAACTATTTCCGCTTTAGGTTAGCTGCTGCAGCATTGGGACAGTAAGGTTCAGAGCATTGAAGACAGAAGTTATGATGGCTACCATCATAAATTATATGCATATTATATAATTCAGATAAAGATTGTGATATATGAAAAAGTATTTTGAACTGGTTATCTGAAAAATTAGAAATGCACTTTTCCATATAATCTTCCATACCACGTAGACGACTTCAGATTTATTAATTAATTAATTAATGTCGGAAGGTTCGAATAAGAAGCTGTTTTTTGATAGGGTGTAGGCCTATTGTCCACATTATCTCCTATAAAAAAAATAAAAATTGCATCACAACAGAAAGCTCCAGGAAAATGAAACCAGATGAATTATATGGTAAACGACTAAGGCAAGGTAAACAGACAATGAATTTTGCTACATGGAATGTACAAGGAATCAGATCAAAGGGAAAAGAGTTAAAGAAATAAAATGAATGAAAATTGACTTTGTGATCTTAACAGAAACAAAAAGGAAAGGACTTGAAGATAATATGCATATTTACTCTGGTGTACCAAAAGAAAAAAGATAAAAATATGGTGTATCCATGAAGATAAAAAAATTTAAGAGAAATATTACCAATTTTGAAACAATAGATGAAAGAATGATGAAAGTTAATCTTAATATTTTTGGAAGACAAATTACAGTAGATCCCCTATAACACAGGTTCATAGAATACGGATTCATATAACAGGACAAAAAAGTTGCGATTGTGTTCGTATAAACACGCTAAAAGAGACTCGTATAATACGGTAAAACATCATTACCAACTCATGTCACAACAGGTTGGGATAGAAATTGTAGAGAAATAGAAACATATATAGGAGGAAGAAAATGCACTGAGGCATGGAAATTCCTAAAAAATATTAGAAATGAAAATAATAGTAATAAAGGACAGTTTATCTCAGTTAAACAATGGAAAGAATATTATAAAAATTTATTAACAGAAGATAGAATTCAATTTATGACAGAAGATATAAACATAGAAAAGGATATATCAATTTATTTAGAGACAAAACAGATTAAACAAGCATGTAAGAAACTGAAGAATAATAGAGCAAGCAGTCCTGGAGGAATACCAGCAGAATTGATAAAAAAATGGAACAGAAAAATTATTTAGAATGACAACAAAATTATTTGAAAGGTGTCTTAATGAAGAAGACATTCAAAAAGAATGGAAAATTTGCTTTTTTGTCATCTATCTATAAAATAGGAAATAAAAATGTGAG